GGTGCATATCAGAGGATATAAGAGATTGTAAGTAATCTACTTTTTCTTGTGGTGACCTGTAGTTTGTGCTTATAATTTCAGTCAGAGTCATTTCAGATAAGGTTATTCACTTCATTGCATGTTGCCATTCCCCGTGATACTTTTTCCTTATCTTATTTGATACTGGTATTTCAGAAGGCCGTAAGCTTTTGAAAAATATGCCTGAATATATAATGTGATCAGAGGGCATAATGGAATAATTAATTTGAACAAATTTGTAGAAAAATTTGATGGAATATTGTTGATTTCATAAGGGATGAAGATGTGTGTAATAAGTGTATGACATCACCAAGTGTCAATTTCTCACTAGAAAGCCAAAAAACAACTGTTTTTGGATTATGTTCATCCTCCAGTTCTGCCTCTCTCTCTCTCTCCCACCTGCTTAAGTTTCTCATTTTGAACTGCTTCACTCCCTTGGTATATCTTCTAGTTGCCTAGTAAACTACTGATATCCGTCAATCATTCATTCAGATGACCTTGTTGTAGTCTAAGAGAAGGGAGTAAATCAATGGAAATTTATAGACTTTTTGAGAATTCTTTATTCCTAACCTACTGTTAAAATACTCTACTGGAAAGTGTTGGACATCCGTTTCGTTTTTACTGAAGAGCTGACTAATAGGCCATAGTATTCAACCACTTCAATAACTGAAAACACAAAGTTGAAGAAGAAGTGGTGGTTGTTAACCCACTGAAATAGAGTCCAGTGGTTCGCAAAAATAAAACTATCAGTTTGTTTTACATTCTCATAAGGAAGTACGGATACTAAAGTAATGAATATCATTTACCCAATGACCAAGCATTTTCAGATTATCAGATCCAGTTTGGTTGGCATATCTATAAAGTGATTAAAAACCGGATTACTCTATTGAAGCACAAATGTAACTTCTACAATCATCACATTTTCAGTCCATGTTGTTTATATAGTGGAATTATTCCCAAATCCCTACGTGTTAAACCTTTTGAACATTCCCACAGATCTATTCTTGCAGCACAGCATACCTTCCACATATTCCTACATGAAAGAATATATAGTAACACTGTAAAGCTTGAATTTTATTGGGCATGGATTAGAAATATTGATGAATGTTTATCAAAGCTGATTACACCTGATACACTTGAATCTTTTCCTCTATTGTTCCAAGAACCGGAATCACATCTTCACAATGTGGCCAAAAGAAGGCGAATTCAAAAAAAATTCCAAACTTATACAGCAAAAGCATAGAGAAGAAACACTAAAACATGATACGAAAATTCGTAACCCCTTACACAACATATAGAGGATAAGATTTTAAGTGATAACAAGATTTCATTATTACGGAAAGGTCTCAAATTCAACATCAACTGAAAGCCATTACTGATAGCACCAATTATCGAACTGGCTGTAACGGCCAAAATCCAATTAATTTAGTCTAAACGCATGAAACAACCCAGTGGCGCCAAGCCAAGGCGATCCAGACAAGTTCCTGCCTTCTACTGTATAGTTCCCAAACTTTCGTGAGTCACGCATAGTCAAAGGTTGGATCAGCAATATCAAAAACACGACTTGTAGTAAACTGGCGATAGATATGTAACAAATCTGTGGTACTATCAAAGTAACAATAGGTTATATCCAAATTATAAAAATACCTCAACAGTACCGTTGGGTAACTATACGGTTCAAATGTTCTCAGGCACGAATAAGTACTGAGAATCAATAAGAATATTCCCGACAAAAAGGGGATCAAAAACTCTGTCTACCAAAATCAAAATAAGTAAACATTTCCAAATCATAGCAAAACCTTAAATTGAGCCAGAACAAAATGTTGGGTGCAGTAAAACAACGTCAAGTTGTAAACCGTCAAGGATCGTACAATAGTAAAGTGAAGCATTCATGATAAGTCTCGATCAACCAGTGACAACTAGTGAGTGTAAAGTGAAAGAAAAGAGTCAAATGATAAAATAATATTACATCGGCTAAGATCAAAGTCACAATATCCATACTGAGCGTAAAAATATTCTCATAAATGTCAATACTGGTAAACAAGTTGATCAAGAGGGATTTTCAGATCATTTTTTCAGTTACACCGGTTATAGAATCCCTACCTAACTACGAGGCACAGAATGTAAGTCAGAAAATTTCACATATCCTTGTAAAGCAAAGAAATACACATTCCAGCATCATTAAACAAGAATTTCAACCCTTGAAAAATTTGAGGAAAGACAAGAACATTATAATAACAAAAGCGGATAAAGGAAATATAACAGTCATTATGAACAGAACACACTATGCGAAGAAAGCAAGCGGACAGCTATCTAAAGGACCATACACTTTAATTGGTGAAAAGAAAAGATTCATCGAACTGAACAACATGAAATTGAACACGAATAGGCTACTTCAGAAGTTAAATCAAATATCGGCAGCTCAACTGGGTTCATCCTCAAACTTAAGTCATACATGCCTTCCAGATTCCACGGTCTACCTAAGATTCACAAACTTTCCATTCCACTGAGACCAATTGTGGACTTCACCAACACACCAACATACAACCTCTCTAAATACCTGGCTTCAACAGTTAAACCCTTACAAAAGCATTCAGGATACACAATAAAGGACTCACTTGATTTTAAATCCAAAATATCTTCAATTAAAATTGAGGAAGATGAAATTAGGGTAAGGCGTGATATCAATTCTTGACATACTAGTATTCTAACTAATGATAGGGTAGATATTATTTCTAATTTATTAGACTCAGACACATCACTGACAGAAGGATGTCAACTGCATATCAGTGACATTATCAACGTCCTAAAATTCTGCTTAGAGACTACTTACTTCACATATAAATGAAAACTATACAGGTAAACTAAATGTGTTGCTTTAGTTTCACTTGTTCCAACCGTGATAAATTCAAAGAAAGTGTTTCTACTCACTTATTGGAGCCAAAAGTTTGTCTGAGATATGTTGATGACACATTCCTGATTTTAAAACGTGACTTAAATCACCTGAACTCTAAATCTCCCAGTATCATGTTCAGCTTAGAAAAAGAAACAAATAAGGAGGAACTATCATTTCCTTGATTGTTTTGTTAAGTGGAAAGAAAATAGACACTTAAGGATAAACATTTTTAGGAAAGCAACGAATTTGTACAAATATATACATTTCAACTGATAACATCCAATTAGTACGAAACTTTCTGCTGCCGCCTCTGGTCTTTTAAGCAGAGCACATACTCTAGTAACGTATGAAAATGAAAGAGTTAAGGAATTACACAATGTGAACAAGATAGTTAAGATGAATAACTGTTTACAAAATAGAAAATAACATTAAATTAGATCATGGGCTCCAACAATGGTTATCTCTTACAGATTACACACATCGGATGAAATTATGAGAGTCCTCAACAAATACAATATCAGAGTGTTCTCCAGAACATCAAGCACACTGCAGAGGACCGTATTTGATTTGAAGGATGAGATCCTTCTAGATTCACAATCTGATTATGTTTGCAAAGTAAAATGCTGAGACTAGGATGCAATATACATAAGACAAACTCCCCATGAAAGCAAAATTAGAAGAAAAAGAACATTGACGAGCTTCAACTCGATCCCTTAGGAATTCACTGGAACTAAAAAAGCTTGAAAACAATTCAGCTGTAGTTCTACATGTTATAATTTCAGGTGAGAAGGTTTATTTTGAGAATATCGAAATTATTCACTAAGGCTTTAGAAATTACAAAGAACTTCTCATAGCAGAATTTCTTCACATGTAGAGTGGAATCATAATTGTCGAACTAGAAATGAATGAGGGAGTAAAAGGTACTTTGACCTAGTCTCAACTCACCCCCACATACTAAAATAACCATTATACATACAATAAGAACTATCAACACACACTCATACACAACACACTACATATGGATATCATCTTCATTCTACAATGCTGATAATGCAGAATCACTCATGAAGGAGAACACTTGTCAATCTATCATATATAAGCTTGAGGGATATTGTAAATTCCGGTTTACTATAACTCTGACAAAGCTATTAGTGGCATTAAATGGTGAAACATCAATTGAAACAGATTCATTTTGTTTTCCATTCTCATTGAAAAATACAAATACCAAAATAATGAATATCATCTACTCATCACCCAAATTTGTTCAAACTATCAAATCCCAACTTGGTTTGGACATCTATAAACTATCAGTATATTTTAATTATATATAGTAATGATGGATAGTGGCCAGCAGTGGAATCCAGGATGGACATTTCGTTCTATTTGGGACTCATCAGCTGGATGTACAAGCAATTATACTAAAACTATACCCATCGCACAAGAAGTGGCTGTCGTGGTTCGGTGGCGTGGTGGATGATGCTCTGGCGTTTGAAGCGATTGCCCTGAGTCGAGTCCCGGCGGGAACAACACTCACTGGGAGGCAGGTATATCCAGCTGACGAGTCCTAAATAGGACGAAATGCGAGTCCTGGATTCCACTCCTAGCCACTATCCATCTTTACTACAATTAGAATACAAGTAATATCGAGGCATCTATACATGAACCCATATGCCAATGGAGACCGATCAATTTGGTCCAATTAGCGACGGTATAGTGCAAGCAATTATACTATCAGTATGTTTGTATGGTTGTGAAGTATAGTAGCAAATAGTTTTCGTTACCAATCAAATGTATAACGCTACCAATTACAAATTAGGTATTGTTGATTGATTTTGTAATTTGAAAGCAATTTAGTACAAATCATTGATTATAAGTACTTTTATTTGATTCTGCTCACTATTACAATAAGTAATGAATATCTGAGACGTACACAATCATCCAATAGGAATCGCACAATTTATCACGTGATCAGTCAACTATTTTTCTATTGGCTAGCTGAATTTGTTGATTTGCCTTAAAAAGTCCATTTAGTATGTTAAACGATTCACAACCAAAATAAGCAGTGAAAGAAATTTAAGTATTATTGATGCATAAAAACGGTTATGCAATTGAAAAAATCCTCAAACGTAAATTATGTAAAGAAGATTATGCTAATTTATTGTTCTGGTCTGGTTCAATATGTCATTTAGCCGGAGAGAAACCTGAATTCAAACACCTTATAATTGGTCAAGAATGGTTATACACTATGAATCATCCAAAAAGACATTTGGAGAGTAGAATACACTTCAGTGTATGATAAATGAACCTTTTAAATTAATCTTTTTTCTTCTTCTCATATAATAATTACATAAAGTCAATTTTAGGTGTTGTATGCATTGGAGATTTGGCCAAATTTCTAACTTGTCAAATCACTAGAAATTACAATCATATATGTATTGAGTTTATTGACAATGTAACTCAAAAGTGTCGACATGTTGTTGACTGTGTGGACTCAGTTGGACAAAACCTGAAGGTAAGTTACTGTACACAGATTGTGAATATGTTTAAACGGAGGTTATATATGACCTTACGTTTATCACAAAATTGATCTCCGAGAAGATGTAAATTGTCTAAACTGTGTAATGCAACGTATTTCAAACAATCTGATAACATCTGTACTTGTCATATGAAAATGGGTGAGAATATACAAAGAAGCCAAGTAGGTAAGGTTGAATTAACGGTCAAATAAAAAGGAAAGTCAATAAAGTGAGAATAATGAACTCGATTTCAGGGTTGAAATCAGCAAGAGAGGCTTATTTCAATCACAAAAATCGGTACTGATCATAAAAAAGTGGTTTAAACTTCCTAATATCTAAGATCTCGACAAGAATTTAAGGATCCGTTCCCAGTACATTCTGTAGGTAGGTCTAAAGGAAGTAGTCACGTCAATCCTGTGACCTATCTCAATGGTATATTTCACGATCGAAGAGCTTCGACGTTTACTGTCAACGTTTATGGGTTCAGGTGATTCAGTTTGCTTTTGAAGACACTTTGGTATATACTCCGAGGCCTTTGGTTGCTTGGATCTGTGTATGTGTCACCACACGTACATTTCAATTGGTAGATGCAATGCGATATGAATTTGTCTTTTACATGCTGTAACGGTTTGCCAGAGTATACAGACTTGATGGTTCCTATTATTCGGACCTTAGGTGTTAAGTGGTAGTAAGACCCTGTTTAAGGATTGTGATACGACAGTCGCCTTTGCATGGAAGACTGATGAAGGCATCTTTCTTCGGAACAAAGTGAAGAGTGGGTCCTGGTGCTCTGGTTATGTTGTGCTGCCTAATACATTTTGATGGATAGTTATTTTCAATCAGTGTTTCCGTTAATGTTCATGTCTCGTCTTCTGAAGTATTTAGATATCATTCATACTTATATTACATAATGAGTAGATAGGAAGGCGTTTATTAAGCATATACAGGAAAATAAGCAAAGAAGGTGAAGAAAACGAACATAAATCAAATGGTATGTAAGAGGAAAGTGAATGAACAGATAAAGCTGCATAAAATATTCGAAAATTTCAAACCACTATATACTGAGAGACTTTAAAGGACACCCCAGCAACATATGAGATAACCAATTAAGCTTCTCTATATTTTGATAGAAACTTCTTTCCTAGCTGGAATACCAAAACCTGATTGGTTATTTCAGTCACTGCTAGGGTGGCATTTAAAGTCGCCCGTATATGTTAATTACTGTGTGAGAGTAAAATTTGAGCAATGTGATATAGTATACTTCTATATTAGATTGTTTATTTGATGATATATCACACAGTAGTATATTATTATTTCCTTTAATGATATTTTGAGCAGAATTTATTCCTCATAGTCCTAACAAAGTAATCATATGACTTTCCCACATCCTTTGTGTAATTCAACAGCTTTCCATTCATTTATTTTAATGGTAGTAACATTTTCCAGTTATCTGCAATATGTGGTCAACCATTCCCGTTACATGTATTGGGTTGGGTGTTGATTCGATGAACAAAGATTCTGTGATCAATCTATCCCTTCTTAATACAAATATAAAACTTGAGCACTGTGGTAGAATTTAACTCCATATTAGATTCGTTTGTTTGATTTATAACACACAATGATACAGTATTATTTACTTGGTGGCGAAGTTTCAAGCATAAATTATTATTGATCATAATCATACCTCAATGTAATCACACTCCCTTCGATATCTCATTTTTATCGTACTGTCACTCAAGTGGTATCTCTAGTATGTATGTGTGTTGGATCAGTTGTATTACATGTGTTGGGTTGGGTGTTGATTCGATGAGCAAAGATTGAGTAATCAGTCCCTTTCTCTCCACCCAATTATATTCAACTTGATTACAGTGGTTGTATCCCACCCATCCAGTTGTGTGGTTGTGTGTTCATACACGCATTGCAATAGTTGTGTGTTTTTTGTAGATTATTAATCTTACTGGGGTCTGTCATTCTACATTTTCTAAGTTTCTATTATTATTATTATTAGTCCCTTAGGTTCCTAATCGAACATAGGGCTTCACTAGCACGTCTCCAGTGACCTCTGTTCTCTGAAATCTTTTGAACCTGGCTCCACGACAGCCCACAACCTCTCATTTGCTCCTCGCACCATCTCCTCCATGTCACCCTCGACACCGACGCCCAACTCGTCGTTTCCCCTGGGGATTCCACTCGAGGGCCTGACGCGTGATGTCCCCAGTCGGCCTTCTCAGTGTATGCCCAATCCATCTCCACTTCCTCCTGCATATTTGTTGCATGATAGGTTCTTGGTTGGTTCGTTCCCAGAGCTCCTTGTTGCTTATTTTTTCTGGCCATCTGATCTTCAGTAGCGAGCCAGTGTAAGCAGTTGTTGATGAATGTCTGTAGTTTATTGGAAATGCCTTTCGTGACGCGCCAAGTCTCTGGACCATACAGAAGCACTGACGACGTTGGTGTTGAAAATCCGTGTCTTGTTCCGCATACTGAGTGCAGAAGATCTCCACACTGGTTTCAGGCTAGTGAAGGCCTGTCTTGCTTTTCCGATTCTGACTTTGACGTCCTCGTCCGTCCCGCCTGTAGTTGAAACAGTGCTTCCTAGATAAGTGAAGGAGGTTACTTCCTTCAAGTTTCTCCCGTTGATAGTGATTGGAGTTTGTTGTTGTTGTTGATGGTGGTGGTGCGGTATCTTCATCACCTCTGTCTTCTCTATATTCACTTGAAGGAAGTCCCGTCTTCGCTGCCTCTTCTGTCAACTTGCTAGTTTTCGCCTGTAGATCCTCAAGTTTGTGTGATATCAGGCACAAGTCATCGGCGAAATCCAAGGCTTCTAGGTTCTTTTCCGCCGTCCAGCGTATCCCCCTCTTCTCGCTGCCCACTGTTTGCTGCATGATCCAGTCCAGTCCACTACAATAAGGAATATCATGGGGGATAGTAAGCAACCTTGTTTCACTCCTGTCTTCACTTTAAAAGCATCACTGAGCTTTCCATTGTGAATCACTTGGCATGTGGCATCTTCATATAGTTGTTGAATGAGGCGGATAAAGGTTTGCGGTACTCCGTAGTAATGAAGCAGTTTCCAAATTACTTGTCGGTCGACGCTGTCAAAGGCCAGCCTTCTCAAAGTCGATAAAGTTGAGGTAGAGAGCTGATTGCCATTCTATGCTCTGTTCTATGATAATGCGAAGCGTTGCAATTTGGTCTGTGCATGATTTGTACCTCCTGAAGCCTGCCTGTTCCGGTCGTAGTTTTGAATCCAGTGCATCCTTTAGCCTCTCCAGGATGATGCGGCTTAATATTTTACTTGGGGTGGATAGGAGAGTGATTCCGCGCCAGTTCTTGCAAACACTGAGGTCTCCCTTCTTCGGCAGTTTAACGAGGTAACCCTTCTTCCAGTCGTCAGGTACCTTCTCTTCCTTCCACACCTTCTGCAATAGTGGTGTGAGCATGTCCGCTGTTGTCTCTGCGTCCGTTCTCAGTGCTTCTGGTGGGATTCCATCTGGTCCTGCTGCGTTCCCGCATTTCAGTAGCTTTATGGCGTTCAGGAATTTGACTTTTGTTGGAGGATTTATGTTCACTTGTAGTTCAGCGGCTGGGCTGCAGGTGGTATTTCTGGACGAATAGCAGGTGGTGGTCGATTCAAGAGCTTTTTGAAGTGGTCGGCCCATTGTTTCCTTTGTTTCTCTTTTTTGGTGATTAGATTTCATTCATTATCTTTTATTGGTTACATCTGCGTTGATCTCTTCCCAGATAGTAACCTGGTTATTTGATACAATGTTGTCAGGTCTCTCTTACCTGCAGCCTGTTCTGCTTCACTTGCCAACGTGTTGTAGAAGTGTCTTTTATCTTTCCATGCACTCTTCTTCACTTCTTTGTCTAGTGTAGTGTTTTGTACATTGTGCTCAGTTCCTCTTGTCGTTGAGCATCCTTGCACTGGTTTATCTTCTGCTTCACCATCCTCCTCTCCCTGCTCGACCAGCTTCCATGTATCCATTGAGATCCATTCCTTATCTTCTTTCTTCTTCCTTCCTAATACTGTTGTGCAGGTTTCTTTCCACATCTCTTTCAAAGACTTCCAGTGTTCTTCCACACAGGTTTCTTCAGGGATGTTGCTCGATGTCTCCCATTTTGTCTTGATGGCTGGCTGCCGTGAAGATTTCCTTTGTAATTTCATCCTTCACTTTCCATTCTGGGTGTTGTACTTGAATTGAGGTCTATCACCAGCTTCCTTGAAGGCTTTTAACTTGATTTGGATGATTCCTTGCACTAGATAGTGGTCTGAACCTACATCTGCTCCTCTTCTTGCCCTTGTGTCAAGTAGACTGCGTCTCCATTTTCTTGAGATTGAGATAAAGTCGATTTGATTTTTAGTGTGTCCATCTGGTGAAGTCCATGTCGCTTTGTGGATATCTTTGTGCTTGAACATAATGCCTCCAATCACCAAATCGTTGAATGCACAGAATTCTGCAAACAATTCTCCATTCTCATTCATTTCACCTAGCGCCTCTCGAGCCATGATTAGTTCTCTTCCTGTGTTGTCCCCTCCCAGTTTGGCATTCATGTCACCCATTAGAATTTTGATATCGCCAACTTGAGTGGTGTCTTGTCCAGTGTTGATTGAAGTTGTCTGTAGAATTCCTCCTTTTTCTCTTGCTCTGCATTATTTGTAGGTGCATAGCATAGTGTAGCATTGTATGATTGTGACCTTCCTTCCTTTTGAGTTGAATCTTGCTGTCATGATCCTGGAGGAGATTGGTTCCCACTGCATGAGGGCCTTCGATGCTCTTGGGTACATCATGATAGCCACTCCATAACTCAGTGTGTTCGTAGTTGTCGTCTGAGTGACAATATCGGAGTAGATTATTGATTCTCCAGTTGACAGTTTGGAGAGTCCACTCCCATTCCATCTGCTTTCGCAAATTCCAAGCACTTCGATGTGATACCTTCTCATCTCTTTTGCAATCTGGGCTGCCTTGCTGGGTTCAAACATGGTGTGGACATT